CAGCAACTGCAGTTCCTACCATCTCTGGTGAAAAGTTCATGTGGGATATAAGTACTAGCACAAACCTGCTCTGTCTGCAGCATGACCCATAGTCTTCTGATCACTTGTTATTTTACTTCTGTGCCCTGTGTGGACGTAGAAGTCCCAATCCCACTCTGACCTTTCTATCCTGGTAATGATTCTGCTTCTATCATTTTCATCTTATCCAGATTCATCTTTTGTTGACCTTTAGTGTTCCATTAACATTCCCCCACCTTTGCATTGCACTACCATTGTAGAAGAAATTTAAAACAACAGAATTTCCCTTCATATTCTCTCTCTTCTCCCCATTTTCTCTGATTCTACACTTGTATGGTATCTGTTACATCTCTAACATTTTCCAGTTCTGAATAAAGGACATCAGAATGAAGTGTTGACAGTTTCTCTCTCCACAAAAGCTGCCAAGCCTGCTGATTATTTCAAGTATTTTCTGGTTTATCCTTTTGGATTCTCAGTACTGAGAATGTTGTGCTTTTAAAGTAATTATTAACTGGAAAGTATTTTGGGGCCTCTTGCATTCGTGAAAGGGGTTGTATAAATGCACATTCTCTATGTCTTCATTCATTATCTGAGATCACTGACATGCAGCTGGTGTTCTGCAAGGGCCACTCAACTCATGACATTATCCCAGCCTTCTTTCAAACAATGACAAAATTGAAATCCAGAAGTGAAGTGAGTGTGACTGTTCTTGATATCAAGGCCATATTTGACCAAGAGTAGCATCAAGGAACTCTAGCAAAACTGGAGTTAATGGAAATCGGAGGGAAAACTCTATTGATTAGAGCCATACCTGCCACACAGGAAAATGGTTATGGTTGTTGGAGGTCAGTCATCTCAGCTGCATTAGTTTCTCAGGCTAGTGTCCTAGGCCCAACCATCTTCAGCTGCTTCATAATGACCTTCCCTCCAACACTAAGGACAGAAGTGGAGATGTTTGCTAATGATTGCACAATGCTTAGTACCACTCGTGACTCCTCAGATATTGAAGTAATTCATGAACAAATACAGCAAGATTGGGACAATATTCAGCTTTGGTCTAAGTGATAAGTAACAGCCGTGCCTCACAAATGCCAGGAAATAGCCATTCCACAAAAGAGAATCTGACCATCACACCTTGATTTCAATTGCATTGCTATCACTGAAACCTAACTATCAACATCATTGACCAGAAACTGAACTGGAATAACCATATAAGTACTATGGTTCGAAGAGCAGGACAGAGGCTAGGAGTCCTACAGTGAGTAACTCACCTCCTGACTCCCCAAAGCCTGACCACCATCTACAAGCCACAAGTCAGGAGTGTGATGGAATAGACCCCACTTCTCTGGGTGAAAGAAGGTCCAACAACACTCTCGAGGTTTGACACCATCCGCGACAGATCAACTTGTTTAATTGGCACCATATTCAACTCCTCTACCACGGACACTCAGTAGCAGCAGGTGTGTGCCATCTACAAAGAGCACTGCAGAAATTAATGAAGGTTACTTAGATAGTAGTTCCCAAATCCACAACCACTTTAATTGGACAAGGACAGCAGATACATAGGAACACTACTTCTTACAACTTCCCCTTCAAACCACTCACCATCTTCAAAATATATTGTCATTCTTTCAGTGTTGCTGGGTAAAAATCCTAGAATTTCCTCCCTAACAGGAATGAAGGAGTACCTACAGCAACTGGACTGCAGCATTTCAAGAAGGCAACTAATCACCACCTTTTCAAGGACAAATACAATCAGCAATAAATGCTGGCCAGCCAGCAATGCCTACACTGCGTAAATGAATAAATAAAACTTTAGCCTGCCAGCAGAGGGCACAATAACTACAGGAGTTTTTCTACTCAGATGTTAAACTAATATTAAAATGAGTATCGAAAACACACCACTGGCCTCCCTTTTCAGTCTGCTGCATTTCAGAATCTTTATCAAAATGCATGTCATTTTTTTATTTAACCTGTTTTTCATATCAACCAAGGGATAGTCAACATGGCTTTGTGCGTGGGAAATTGTGTCTCACTAACTTGATAGTTTTTTGAAGAAGTTACGAAGAGGATTGATGAGGGCAGGGCAGCGGATGTTATCTATATGGACTTCGGTAAGGCGTTCGACAAGGTTCCTCATGGTAGACTGGTTAGCAAGTTTAATCACGTGGAATACAGCTTGGACTAGCCATTTGGATATAGATCTGGCTCAAAGGTAGAAGACAGGGGGTGGTGGTAAAGGGTTCCTTTTCAGACCGGAGGCCTGTGACCAGCGGTGACAGTGCTGGGTCCATTGCTTTTTGTCATAAATGATTTGGATGTGAGCATAGGAGGTATGGTTAGTAAGTTTGCAGATGACACCAGAACTGGAGGTGTAGTGGACAGAGAAGAAGGTTACCTCAGAATACAATGGGACCTTGATCAAATGGGCTGAGGAGTGGCAGATGGAGTTTAATCTAGATAAATGTGAGGTGCTACACTTTGGAAAGGCACATCAGGACAGGTCTTAATGGTAAGTTCCTGGGGAGTGTTGCTGAACAAAGAGACCTTAGAGAGTAGGTTCATATTTCCTTTTGAAAGTGGAGTCACAGGTAGATAGGATAGTGAAGGCAGTGTTTGAAATGCTTGCCTTTATTGGTCAGTGCAATGAGTATAGGAGTTGGCTGTACAGGACATTGGTTAGGCCAGTATTTGAATACTGCGTGCAATTCTGGTATCCCTGCTATAGGAAGGATGTTGTGAAACTTGACAGGGTTCAGAAAAGATTTACAAGGATGTTGCCAGGGTTGGAGAGTTTGAGCTACAGGGAGAGGTTGAATAGGCTGGGACTATTTTCCCTGGAGTGTCGGAGGCTGAGGGCTGACTTTATAGAGGTTTATAAAATCATGAGGGGCATGGATAAGGTGAATAGACAAGGTCTTTTCCCTGGGATGGGGAAGTCCAAAATTGAAGGGCATAGGTTTAAGGTGAGAGGGGAAAGATTTGTAAAAGACATAAGGGGCAACCTTTTCACACAGAGGGTGGTACGTATACGGAATAAGCTGCCAGAAGAAGTGGTGGAGGCTGGTACAATTACAATACTTAAATGGCATCTGGATTGGTATGCGAATAAGAAGGGTTTAGTATGATATGGGTAAATGGGATATCTGGTTGACGTGGATGAGTTGGACCAAAGGATCTGTTTCCATGCTATACATCTCTATGACTCTACAACCTGTTCAAGATGTTATTACACACATCTCCCAGCCTGGGTTAGGGACACTACCACTGCAATGTAAGTGGGCTAGAAGTTTTGGACCTGAATGAGAAATGGAAGTGTTTGAGTGATAAGCTGTGAACGTAATTGGCAGCAGTGGGATTTGAACTCATACCTCCACAGAGGCTGGAACCTGAATCTAGCCTCTTAGCCACACTACCACTACAAGGCACTGTTTATCTACCACCAGTAAGAGATTTAACCTGTTTAAAACATTACTGCCATTACATACCAGTTGTTGGTGTCACTCCATTTGCTTTCGTAATTTTTGGGTCATCTTTGGGTTGAACAGCAACATTATGTTTCTTCTGCAGAACAAACAGAGTGATACACAGGATGTGTGTGTTAGATTAGGGTTTGTCTGTCAATGATCAACACCACTGTATCTAACACATTCTTTGCTGCCAGGTCAATCCCTGACTTTCCCCTTCATAAGAACATAAGAACTAGGAGCAGGAGTAGGCCATCTGACCCCTCGAGCCTGACCCCTCGAGCCTGCCCCGCCATTTAATAAGATTATGGCTGATCTTTTTGAGACTCAGCTCCACTTACCCGCGCACTCACCAAAACCCTTAATTCCTTTACTGTTCAAAAATTTATCTAGCCTTGCCTTAAAAACATTCAGTGAGGTAGCTTCAACCGCTTCACTGGGCAGGGAATTCCACAGGTTCACAACGCTTTGGGTGAAGAAGTTCCTCCTGACCTCAGTCCTACATCTGCTTCCCTTTATTTTGAGGCGATGCCCTCTAGTCCTAGTTTCACCTGCTAGTGGAAACAACCTCCCTGCCTCCACTTTATCTATTCCCTTCATAATCTTTTATGTTTCTATAAGATCTCCCCTCATTCTTCTGAATTCCAATGAGTATAATCCCAGTCTACTCAGTCTGTCCTCATAATCCAACCGTCTCAACTCTGGAATCAACCGAGTGAATCTCCTCTGCACCCCCTCCAGTGCTAGTATATCTCTTCTCAAGTAAGGAGACCAAAACTGCACACAGTACTCCAGGTATGGCCTCACCAGGACCCTATACAGCTGCAGCATAGCCTCCCTGTTTTTAAACTCCATCCCCCTAGCAATGGCAGACAAAATTTCATTTGCCTTTTTAATTACCTGCTGCACCCGCAATCCCACCTTCAGCGATTCATGCACAACGACACCCAAGTCCCTCTGCAGAGCAGCGTGCTGCAATTTTTTTACCATTTAAAACATAGTCCATTTTGCTGTTATTCCTACCAAAATGGATGACCTCACACTTATCAACCTTGTACTCCATCTGCCAGACCTTTGCCCACTCACTTAGACTATCTATATCCCTCTGCAGACTTTCAGTGTCTTCTGCACACTTTGCTCTACCACTCACCTTAGTGTCATCTGCAAATTTTGATACACCACACTTAGTCCCCAACTCCAAATCATCTATGTAAATTGTAAACAATCGCGGTCCCAACACTGATCCCTGAGGCACACCACTAGCCACTGACTGCCAACCAGGAAAACACCCATTTATTCCTACTCTTTGCTTTCTACTGGTCAACCAATCCTCTATTACCTGTAATACCATGCAACTTTATCTTATGTAGCAGCCTTTGGTGTGGCTCCTTGTCAAATGTCTTCTGGAAATCCAGATACACCACATCCACAGGTTCCCCATTGTCCACCATGCAAGTAATGTCCTCAAAGAATTCCACCAAATTAGTTAAACATGACCTACCCTTCATGAACCCATGCTGGGTGTTCCCAATGAGACAATTTATATCCAGATGTCTTGCTATTTTCTTCATTAATGACAGATTCAAGCATTTTCCCCACTATCAAAGTTAAGCTAACTGGCCTATAGTTACCTGCTTTTTGTCTAGTTCCTTTTTTAAACAGTGGCGTCTCATTGGCTGTTTTCCAATTTGCGGGAACCACCCCAGAGTCCACTGAATTTTGGTAAATAATTACTAGTGCATTTGCTATTTCCCCCATCACCTCTTTTAGTACCCTGGGATGCATTTCATCAGGGGCAGGAGACTTTTCTACCTTTAGGCCCATTAGCTTGCCCAGCACTGCCTCCTTAGTGATAATGATAGTTTCTAGGTCCTCACCTGCTATAACCTTCTTGCCATTAGTTTTCGGCATGTTATTTGTGTCTTCCACAGTGAAGACCGACACAAAATAATTGTTTAATGTCTCGGCTATTTCCTCATTCCCAGTTATTAAATTGCCCTTCGCATCCTCTAAAGGACCAATGTTTACCTTCGCCACTCTTTTACAATTTACATATTTATAGAAACTTTTGCTGTCTGTTTTTATGTTCTGAGCTAGTTTACTCTCATAATCTATCTTACTTTTCTTTATAACTTTTTTTGTGGCTTTCTGTTGGCCTTTAAAGATTTCCCAGTCTACTAGTTTCCCACAACTCTTTGCTTTTTTGTATGTGTTTTTTTTAGTCTGATACTTTCCTTTATTTCCTTAGACATCCATGGCAGGCTCTCTCTTTTCCTACAGTTCTTCCTTATCACTGGAATATACTTCTGCTGAGCACTGTAAAAAATTGTTTTGAAAGTCCTCCACTGTTCCTCAATTGACCCACCATAAAGTTTTTGCTCCCATTCTACCTTAGCTAGCTCCTCCCTCAGTCCTTCATAGTCTCCTTTGTTTAAGCACAGGACATAGGTACTGGATTTAACCTTCTCACGCTCCATCTGTATTTTAAATTCGACCATACTGTGATCACTCCTTCCGAGAGGATCCCTAACTGTGAGATCATTAATTATTCCTGTCTCATTACACAGGACTAGATCTAGGATAGCTTGCTCCCTCGTAGGTTCCATTACATATTGTTCAAGGAAATTATCGCGGATGCATTCTATGAACCCCTCCTGAAGGCTGCCATGACCGACCTGGTTTGACCAATCGATATGTGGATTAAAATCCCCCATGATAATTGCTGTACCATTTTTACATGCATTAGCTACTTCTATGTTTATTGTCCGCCCCACCACGATGTCATTATTTGGTGGCCTATAGACCACACCTATCAGTGACTTCTTCTCCCTGCTATTCCTAATTTCCACCCAAATGGATTCAACGTTTTGTTCAGTAGAACCTATATCATCTCTCACTACTGCCCTGATATCATCCTTAAAAATCAGAGCAACACCACCTCCCTCTCCTTCCTGTCTGTCCTTCCTTATCCTCCACCTATGCAGTGATTGCTAAAAGCCCCAATCTCTACTTTATTCACAATATCTTTAAAGCATCTTTATGTTTTGAGCCTATGAGCAGCATCTTTTTTTTTCAATTCAGAAAAAGGCAAATAACTAAACATGTTAAATTATTGGCATAGGCCTTTAGATCCCACTTCATACATTAAGTACATTCCTCTTAAGAATGAATATATGTAGTGTCAGCTAAGGCTCATTGGTAGTACACCTATCGGAGTTAGAAGGTTGAGAGTTCAAATCACACTCTTTCACCAACACCAGTCTCTGGGACACTCAATACTCCTACCCCAGCAGTGATTCCTTAGGATCCTTCACTCATTCCATTCCCAATCACCAGTTGCTAGGATAATCCATCTCCACCCAGAATGCGGAGTGAAATTTCAAAATCTGCTAAGAATATGAAACTTGGAGGTGTGACAGATAGTGAGGATAATTCCACTTAACTACAACAGGACATAGATAAGCTGGCATATATGATTGGTAGACCATAATACAAAGATGTTGTATTTTGGCTGTAGGGATAGGGTGAGATAAAATGGACTTAGCACAGTTTGAAACAGTGTGCTGGAACAAAGAGGTTTAAAAATGTGGCAATACATGCTGAGAGAATTAATTACAAAGCATATGCATGAACCTGTACAATGCTCTACTTAGGCCACAACAAGAGTATTTGTCCAGTTCTGGTACCACATTAAAGAGGATGTAAGGGTGCTTGAAAAGGTGCAGAGGAAATTTACAAGCATAGTTCCTGGGATGAGGGATTTAGCGACAAGGTTAGATTGGACGAGCTGAGATTGCCATTGAAGCCAAGGAAATTAATAAATTTGATAGAGTTGTAGATGATTTCGATAGGTTTAGGTAAGCCAGATAGACCAGAAACTGTTTCAAGTTATTGATGGTACAAGGGCTAGGGACCGACTGAGACAATGTTTCCCAAACATGAACCAACTTCAGAGTCTGAAAATTGTCATGGAGTTCAGGATGGAACTGTGGAACTGAAAGAATGGGTTGGTGTTGGGGTGGGGATGGGAGGTTGAAGGTGGAGCGGAAGATCAGTGAGGGTATGCAGAATGAGGAGATGTCTATGGTGAACATTGCTGCCTCCAAGCTTTTAACCCAAAATTCGAGTCTGTAACCCCATTGGGATCCCTACCCCTAAATTGGGAAGCCTTGAATTAAAGGTTTTGGCAAAGGGTATAGGTAGATGTGAGGAAGAATGCTTTACACAGCATATAGCAATAACCTACAACTCACTGCTTATAAAGATCATTTAAATTATTGATTTGTCTGTTTCCATATGAAATTGGATGAGTACTTGAGGGAGATATCCCTGTACTGCCACAGCGATAGAGCAAGGAAATGGGACTGACTGGAATTTCTAAAAAGAGTCATGTGGACATAATGAGCGAAATGGCCTCCTTCAGTGCATCTCTATTGAGTAGGTTTTCATGAAATTAGGAAGACTGTGCTGACATTTAAAAGTGGCAGACTTCTCCATTTTCAACAAAGCCACTGTTTGCTCGCAGGGGTAGGGGAAAGGGTGTGATTCACACAGGCTGGAATCTCAAACTCAGCAGGGACATTTGAATTTAGTGCTGAGTTCAAACAGACCCCATTTTGACTGCTACTATTGCCCTAAGCACTGTGTGCAGAAATCACAAATCAATGGGGCAGATGTAAGCATTCTTGGAAGGCAGATAATGTTTCTTTAAGTTTCATTGTCTTAAGATTTTTACAACTCCCATTCCTGAAACACACTGAAGTAGTCAATGAGAGTTTAAAAAAACTCTGCTGAACCATCGGGTAATGATTTAAAAAAAAACTGGTCATGCTCCTTCAGTAGAGTTCTCTTTTCTTTTTAAGACCAACCTCCATGTTCATCTCATCCGAAGATCAGAATTGACTTGGTCCTTCTTGACCAGATAAACCACTATACACAAGAACCCCCTCAATAGAAGTGGGTTGACGCTTCACCAGCAGCTATTTTGCCACTATGAATGCTTGCCTGAGTTACAAAAACAACAATTATTTCAATGAGCATTCTGAGATCACAGTTTGATTCAAAGTTTAAAGAGTCCATTAAAGGATTTGCTATCTCTGATGTGTTACCTATGTGGAACTTTGTCTTTTTGAAGTAATTAACCACTGAAGATATAAAAGCTTTTAATGAGTTTCATGAATGGGAGGTTTTTTTTTGCCCACTATCAGTTATATACGAGTGAGAGCTACATTAAACCAATCGCCTCCTGAAGCCTGCCCATGGTGGATATGGGGTGATGTGGCACGGAGGTGAATAGGAAGTACAAGCTGTCTTGGAGGAGCTGTGGGATGTGAAGAAGGAGTGGATGTGAAAAGTGAGGGGTAGAGGGCCTAACATTTTGAAAACAACTGACAAAGTAGCCATTTAGGACCAGTTTCCAAGGTTGGCATGCACCAGCTCCCTGATGTGAAATTTTTGTCTAAACTGAGGGGAGAATGCCACATTGGGGAATTGTTTGACCTGTCCTATCCAATTCAGTAGCAAAAATCCTGTTCCATAACTATAGACACTTAAGCATAAGCTAGGCTGATACTTCCAGTACAATGAGGTAGTGCTGCACTATTCGACGAAGTGAGGCCCAGCCTGTTGAGTGAATTTGAAAGATCCTAACCACTAGTCAAGGTACATTTAAAAAAAAGCTTTCCCTGGTCTCCCAACCAATAATTATCTTTCAACTGCAAACGATCTGCTCTGAAGGGAGAACTTCTAGAAGTTCATAAAATCATGACGGGCATGGATAGGGTGAATAGCCATGACCTTTTTCCTAGTGTGGGACACTAGAGGGCATAGGCTTAAGGTGAGAGGGGAAAGATTTACAAAAGACCGGAGGAGTAACTTTTTCACGTAGATGGTGGTGTGTGTATGGAATAAGCTGCCAGATGAAGTGGTGAACCTGGTACAATTACAATATTTAAAAGACATGGGTACACAAGTAGGAAGGGTTTAGAGGGATATGGGCCACATGCTGGCAAATGTGATATGGATGTCTAGTCTACATAGACATGTTGGACCGAAGGGTCTGTTTCCATGCTGCATGACTCAATGACTCTGACTCTATTACCTGCTTTCCGTTTGTGGGACCCTGCTGCATGCAAACTGTCTGCTGGGTTTACTAGTGACATCTGGAAACTATTTTGTTGAATGTAAAGGAATTTGATTCTGCCTAAGTCTGTGAATGATGGTCTACAAATGCAAATCCTTTCTTTCTCAATCTTAGGCTATCTGCTGAAACAAAAAGGGGAGTGGAATTGCACAAGGCATGTATTCACAAAGTGTGTCTTACTCACCACAGACTTTATCTTTTGTTGTCCTGCATGACTATTAGCTCCTGTTCTTATTCTTTCATAAACTCTAGTAAGCAGAAAAGAGAGTGTTGGAGTGTCAAAACAAAGCAACCATTATCCTGTAATCTTCAGCAGCACATTTATTGTCTATTGACTCAACTCACTGTTAGCTACCAAATTCTGTCAAGTTTTGCAAACCCAACTGATTTTTTGCTTCAAGTCATAGAATCCCTGTAGTGTGAAAACGGGCCATTTGGCCCAACAAGTCCATACCGCTCCTCTGAAGAACATCCTCACCCAGACCCAATTCCCTACCTCTGCATTTCCCATGTCTAACCCACCTAACCTAAACATCCCTGGGCACTATGGGCAATTTAGCATGGCCAATCCACCTACCCTGCATATCTTTGGACTGTGAGAGGAAACCAGAGCACCCAGAGGAATCCCACACAGACACAGGGAGAATGTGCAAACGCCACACAGACAGTCGCCCGAGGCAGGAATCAAACCTGGGTCCCTGGCACTGTGAGGCAGCAGTGCTAATCACTGAGCTAATGTGCCACCCCTCCTAAAGTTAGGATTGCTAATCCTTCAGGAGCCTCCCTAACCCTAACCCTCATCTGCAGAACTCTCTTGCAAGCAAATCATTGGGAGAAAATAATGAATTTCATTATAGGGGCATTACTAATTGATAAGCACAAAACAATTTACAATATATATTGGAGGAGGAATGCAAAACTGTCTGTCTGACAGTATCGTCCAATTAATGATACCTTGTTTTCTTAATTGGCTGTATGAAGTGTGAAGACTGTGAGAATTGCCGTGTGGAGTAAGCAATGGTAGAGTGTGTGGGGAATGGGATAGTTGAAGGAGGCAGAGATCATATGATAAAATCTCTGGGAACACACCTAACCAGCACTGGAAACTGTATTCATGTTGTGATGCACTGGGGAATGATGGGAAACAGTCAGCCACACAGCAAAAATCCCAACCTCACCATAAAACCCGCGGACAAGGGAGGCGCAGTTGTAGTATGGTGCACTGACCTCTACATCGCCGAGGCCGGACGCCAACTCTCCGACACCTCCTCCTACCGCCCCCTTGATCATGACCCCACCCCTGAGCACCAAACCATCATCTCGCAAACTATCCACAACCTCATCACCTCAGGTGACCTCCCACCCATGGCCTCCAACCTCATCGTTCCCCAACCTCGCACTGCCCGCTTCTATCTCCTTCCCAAAATCCACAAACCTGAATACCCTGGTCGACCCATTGTCTCCACCTGCTCCTGCCCCACCGAACTGATCTCCAACTATCTAGACTCCATTTTCTCCCCCTTGGTCCAGGAACTCCCTACCTATGTCCGTGACACCACCCACGCCCTCCACCTCCTCCAGAACTTCCAATTCCCCGGTCCCCAACACCTCATCTTTACCATGGACGTCCAGTCCCTCTACACCTGCATTCCCCATGCAGATGGCCTTAAGGCCCTCCGCTTCTTCCTGTCCCGCAGGCCCGACCAGTCCCCCTCCACTGA